TTTTCATTCCATTTTATTATCTATATACTCTCTCTCTAATAAGGCTTTTTGTAGGTGGAACGGACACTTTAATCTTTAACGATAATATGTCTACATCATATATGAGAAGATTTTTCGTTACACATCATGCTCCATGCACTACCTATTTAAAATTAAATATCTCAGTGTATGCATGCATACAAGAGCTAAAGGTTAGGGCCTAAAATCATTTAAAGAAAGGTTGGAATCATTCAACTTCTTTACTAGCCAATCTATAGTGATAAACTCAAAATTCATAGTAGATTGCTCGATATATGTGATTTCGAAATATTTCCAAGAAATTTCTCCTCCACAAAGAGTAAGTGCACATCCACTCGTGGGTTTAACTTCATTTGACCTGGTAATCTAATTTGCATCACTAGATTACTCAAATAGTATAGAATATTTCATATAATGCAAATATAGTTTTAAGTATGTTATATATATTGGAAAACTCTTTTTATTGACATCCAATAAGTTTAGTTGAGATTACTTGTGAATCGACTCAATTTACAAATAACACATGTTATATATGTGACCACTTCATGATATATGTCATACTTCTCAATACTTTAGCATAATTCAATTGTGAGTCACTTTTGTCTTCTTTCTTTTCATGTACAAATCTCATATGTATTAGAGTCTTTACAATATTAAAATCCAAATACTTGAACTTGTCAAGTACCTTTTCAATAACATCACTAACTTCAATATATTTCATCAAAGTTACTTTCTAGCATATGCTTAATAGCATTTATGTTAGATGTATCTTTTTATGATCAACATGTCATCAACATAAAAACTATGAATGAACTTGTGATTTGTACGATCTCTAATATATTAACATTTGTCACATTCATCACTCTGGAATTCATTTGCCAACATAGTTTGATCAAATTTGTCATGTCATTAATTTGGGATTTCGTTTTAGTCCACAAAGTGAAATTAAAACTTTACACACTTTCTATGTTACCAGGAACCATAACGCCCTCGAGTTATTACATGTAAATTTCTTTCTCTAATTCTCCTTTTGTAAGAAATATGTTTTCAGATCCATTTTGACGAATTTGAAGGTTATATACTGCAACTAGCGCAATTAACTTCTAAATTTATGTATTCCTAGTTAGTGGTTGTTTGTGTCAAAATAATTGATCCTTTCTTATTGTGTAAAGCCTATGAAAACATGTTTTGCTTTGTATTTGTCCAACTTTCTTTTCCTTTTGTAGATCCACTTTGGCCCAAATGTTTATTTCCTGGAGGAATATCAACCAACTCTCAACTAAATCTATCTTACTATTGACAACCTCTTCCCAAAGAGAATGAGTCCAAAGAGTGGATAGCTTCTTCGAATTAATCAGACTCATTTTCGAGAAGAAATGTTAAAAAAAATAAAACTCAAATGAAAAAGTTGGTCCATTTATATTTACTACATCTATGAATTTCTTATTAAGTGTATTCTCCTTTTATTCGTTCCAAAGTCGTTTAGACCCTTCACTTCACTATCCGACGGTTCGTACTTATGAATAACAAAGTTACATGCTTTACTATTTGTCGCATATCTAGTGAACATACAATAATTAACAATATTAGGTTCTATTTTGACCCGTTTAGAAATAGTTCTCCATCTCATTTCCATTTATCATATGAAATAGACAGTATTCGAAATTGTTAGATCAAAGTTTCAATGAACACTAACTTAAATAATTTCAACGAACACAAAATGACAACAACGATTTAAGAAACAAACAAGATCAAACAATATAAGTTTGTATTTGTGAGAGAAGGGAACCAATTCAACGCAGAAAATGAAAGAAAACCTCTCAATTTGTGGCAAACAAAGGGTAAAGGTCACAACTCCTAGAAAAAAAGACAGCCTTTCAGAAAGGTCACAACTCTTTGGAAAAGGAACAACCTTTCATATGGTAACAACCCTTTGGAAAAGTCACAACCCTTCGGGAGAGTCACAATGCTTTATTTCCTGTTCACACCTTTAGAACCCAACAATAATATATTTAATTCTCTACCAAAATTTTTCTACTCTGCAGGTTTTCCTTGATCATACGACAAAGGAACAAAAAGATATTGGAACTCTTGAAATTTACAGAAAAGAGGATCAAAGTTGTTATATAAAAAGTATAAGATAAAGTCGGTTCAAGCCTATGCTTTGGCTGATATAGAGAAGGATATCACAGACTTAGACTTCAACTAAACTCTTTGTACGATACTCGGCAACTAACGATATTTTCATGATATGTTAAGTTCAAGCTCACGTAAATATTTACATAGGTAAGATCTTGTAATATTTCTTGCTTTTTATTGATTGAGTTACAAATGAATGACCTCCTAATTATACTTCAAACCTAAGGGCGTAAGTGTAAAAACAAATTGCAATGCAAGTCCCTACATACTTACAAATAGGCCGCTCTTCTAGAATCCTCTACAAGTCTAGCCTTCTAAGGAATCCTTCTAAAATATTCTACACTCTTCTTCAAACCTCTCCACGACTCTAGACCCTTTCCACTAAGGGTAGCTCACTTATTCTTAAACTTCATGTCAAAGTTGCGAAAAAGTTGGGGTCATGAAAAGGGGCTTTTAAATACATCGAGTAAAAATTGCTTAAAGTTGAAGAAGAAGTTGATTCTTCAAGGAAGAAGTTCCACAAATTGAGCTTAACGAGCATGAAAGAAAATATGCAAATCATGTCCTGACTAGAAAAACAAAATGTAGGAAAATATTATTGCTGGGATGGAGGATTACTTCAATGCCATACTTGAACATCTCACTCCCAAAAAAGATGATTTAGATGTCGTACCAATTTTAGGTATGTACAATATAGGTAAGAAAACTCTTGCTTAAAAAGTTTATGATGATTATATTTGTTCTCAATATTGTAAACATGCATGGGTCACTATCTTCGAAGAATATGATGAGAGACAAATGCTTCTTGAAGTTGTCTCTCTAATTACATGAAGCAATCAAGAGATTAGCAACACAATGTATCTATAGCTACAAAATTTAAGATATGAATCTAAAATTCATAGCAATTACCTCATAATAGCCGCACAAATTTTTGTTTCGTAGCTATCTACTAATTTTTAAATTTTCTTAGCCATGAGAATTTAATTGTCAAAGCCAGTTCTTGATTTTTGCTACGATTAGTAATACCGGAGGCAAAGATTGACTAAATTGCTACAACTTTGTTGCTACAATAAAATTTTGTAAGTGATCATAAGTTTTTGTCACGATATAAAAATTAGTGTAGCAATAGTAACCTTTTAGCCACAGTAAACTATTTGAAACAAAAAACTGTAGCTAAATAAATATTTTCGCCTCAAATTATAAAAAATTGTGACGATAGTTAAATGATGTAGCCACATCTTTTCTGCTATGATAAAACTGCGTAGCGAATAATAGCTTTTTTCTACGAGTTGAAACTTATCGTAGTTATTGTAGCACTTTAGCCACAATAAATTATTTGACACAAAATATTGTAGCTAAATAAATATTAATGCTTCAACATATAAAGACTTGTGGCAATGTTAAATGATATATAGCCACGCCTTTTTATCTACAGTAAAATTTCATAGTCAATCGTAATTTTTTGGTATGAGTTGAAACTTATTGTGGTAATAATAACACTTTAGCCATAATAAATTATTTGAAATAAAATATTCTAATAAATTAAATCATTTTGCCTCTAGTTTCAAAAAAGAAAATATGTACCTAACAAGCAATAATTAAATGATATAGTTCATAGTTATATATTAATTTTTGCCACGGATTGGAAAATTCTATATCAATAGTAATATTTTAATGAAAGAGTATATTTGAAATAAACTATTATAATAAAATAAATAATTTTGCCCGAGTAATAAAAAGTTGTTTTAATAATGGTCTTCGTAGCTATAATTATTTGTAATAAAACATATTATAACCACAAAATTAATACATTGATGAATTTCATGGTTAATATAATTTTTTAGCACGGGAGGAAATGTAGTCATAGCAATACTAATATAGTGTAATTACATGTGTTAATTTTTCAATCCGATTCAATTTTAAAATTCTACTTATACTCAAATATAATTTCAATAAATAAGTGACTATATCTTGTTAATTTGGATTAAATAATATTATCGAATTTAAATATTATTTCAATTTATAATTTATATTGAAGCGTCTTCTTGATTAAGTGCTTTTAAAATTGTTGTTTGGCTTAAACTTCATATATCAAAATAATATGTTTATCAATATAATATAATTAGAAGTATTAATTGTTTGAATCAATTAAATTTTATAGCTTGCAAAAATCTTAAATATAACTTAAGCTAATAAATAAGTGATTACATTTACGTCAACTAACTAATTTTATCAATTTTTCGCAAACATTCAATAAGTCTCTGTCAAACTTTATCCTAACTAAGCGCTTTAGAATTACTACTGGACACATATGTGATTTATTGGGACAATATCATTTAATAGTTTAGAGTAATTAAAGGTAATTTGATTCGATTCAATTTAATAGTTTTGTTTATAAGTTTTAAATAAATATGTGATATTGTATTAAATAAAAGTGTCAAATAAATTTCAAATAAGAAAACTAAAAGACATAAAGAAGGGTAAATCTTCGTGATTCCTCCAATTAAAATTCTTTTATATAATTATATATGAGTTTATGAGTATTGTAAGACTGTATTTTTAAAGTTTACAGTTGGTTTCTTCAAATAAATTAGTTTTAAACATTAAAATACATCCCTCATTTGGAGTTCTCTTCATATTTTTTAAGATTTATTTGTAATTATTTTATTTTATTATTCATTACACAGATATTTTTGTAAAGTTATAATAGTACTAACATACATATATATACATATACGTACTAACTTTTATTATGAAAATGAAATTTGTAGCAAATTTTTTATCCCCACATGTATGAATATATAACATTCTTATATTAAGAATTAAATGAAAAATAAATTATAAGGATTAAAATCCTTCCACATTTAGATCCAAATCCAAAATATATCCCAAAAAAATTCAAAAGTAAAAAAAAGGTTAAATTTCCCTGCAAAACTTTTAAGGCAAATTAGAAAACCTACCATCAAATTTCCTTACTCATCGCCTCCCCTCTCTTCTTTATCTCATTTTCTTGTTTAAGTTAAAACTTTTTTATGTAGAATGTTTTGCTGATTAACTTTTTTCTTTTTGTCGCTAGGTTTTTTATATTCAAGGTATGTTCATATCTTCTTATTTATAATTTTTCAATATATGTTTTGCTTATTTAACTTAGTTTTTGGGGTTTAGATTATTTCAGATCTTTTAAAAAATAACTACATCTTATTTATGAGCAGATTGTGAAGATTTAAAGAATGAATAGTGTTGAGAGGAGTCATAATTCGCTGACCGCAAGAAATGTCACAATTGAGGTGAAGATTCATTTACAAAGTAAAAAATTTATAAGTTTGTGTACTTTGTTTCTTCTTGCATTCTTCTTATTTCTACCAAATCTTTTAGTTGGTGATATATATAAATAAATATGTTTTCTTCTTGAAATAATATGCATACAAACACTCGTCTACAATTAGTTGGTAATGATCTTTTATGCTAAAAAAATAATTGTTCTGTTTCAAAAATAATTGTCCTATTTCTTTTTAGTTTGTTTCAAAAAGAATGATCCCTTTCCTTTTATTTGGCAACACTTTAACTTTGACATTTCACGTAACATGTTTAAGACCACAAGATTAAAGGATATTTTAGTATATTTGACGTAACTTTAATTTAGAGCTACAAAATTAAAAAGCCTTCTCTCTATTCTTAAACTCCATTTCAAGTCAAACTATATCATTTATTTTAAAACGGAGGAAGTACATCATTTTGACATGTATATTAATGGAGTTAAGGCATATAAATGACAAGATCCGTGTAAATATGCTAAGATTCAGTTGAACGTTGTGGAAGGAGAAATAAGAGAAGAGCATATTGTTAGGTAGTGGAGCCTGATTAATTTTAGGTTTTCCTATTTATTCTCTATTTTAGACTTTCCTATTTGTTCTCTATTTTAGGTTTTCCTATTTATTCTTTGTAACCAAAAATACTCTGATTTATTAATATAAATATACCTCACCGCCGTGGAAGTTCACTCACGGGGTTTTACCACGAAATATTGGGTTTTCTCTCTCTCTCTCTCTAGATTTCTCATCTCTTTCTCTTGAAATTTCTTGTGTTCTTCATTCATCTAGTGTGTGTGCGTGAATTTGATCCTAACAACTGGTATAAGAGCTAAGGAGATTCAAAACGATCACTAAAGATAGATAGTTCAAAGCTTGGAATCGAGAAGTTTGATGGATCCGATTTCTGTTTCTGGAAGATGCAGATCTAAGATTATCTGTACCAGAAAGATCTTCACGAACCGTTGACAGGGGTGAAGCCGTAATCCATGACGGAGGAGAAGTGGAAACTCAAGGATCGCCAGGCTCTAGGGTTGATCCGGTTGAATTTGTCAAGAAACATGGTGTTCAATATCGTGAAGGAGAAGACTACGTCCGGTCTGTTGAAGGCACTGTCAAACATGTATGAAAAATCATCGGCTATGAACAAGGTATATTTAATGCGTAGATTGTTCAATTTACAGATATCTGAGAATGGATCCATTTCTGATCATATAAACGAGTTCAATATGATTGTGAGTCAACTTAATTGTGTGGATATTAATTTCGAAGATGAAATTAAGGCGTTGATTTTGATGTCATCTCTGCCCGAGTCTTGGGATACTGTTGTTACTGCGATTAGCAGTTCCCGTGGATCTGAGAAACTCAAGTTTGATGAAATCCGTGATGTTGTTCTTTGCGAAAGTATTCGGAAACAAAAAGTGGGAGATTCATCGGGCAGTGCTCTCAGCGTTGATTGAAGGGGAAGAAGTAAGACGAAAGGGAAAAATCAACATGGTCGATCAAAATCAAAGAATCGAGGAAAATCACTGAACAGATCAAACGTGACTTGTTGGAACTGTGGAGAAAAAGGACACTTTCGGATGAACTGTACAAAGCCAAAGAAGAAACAGAATCAGAAATTTGGAGATGACAATGATTCTGTAAATTAAGCAGAGGACATTGGGATGCTCTAATCCTTAGTGTGAACAGCCCGGTTGAATCATGGATTTTGGATTCTGGTGCATCTTTCCATTCGTCTCCAAGCAAGGAGTTGTTCCAAAATTTTAAATCTGGAAATTTTGGAAAAGTATATCTTGCTGACAATAAAGCCTTAGAGATTGAAGAAAAAGGGGATGTTTGCATAAAGACCACCTCGGGAAACCAGTGGACATTGGAGGATGTCAGATATATTCCTAGGATCAAGAAAAATTTAATCTCTGTTGGTCAGTTGGATAGCACGGGATATGCAGCAGAGTTTGGGAAAGGTTCGTGGAAGATCGTCAAAGGTGCTATGGTAGTAGCTCGTGACACCAAATCTGGAACCTTGTACACCACTGCAGGGTGAATAAACATGACCGCTGTTGCTGAAGGTGCTTCCGGTTCATGTCTGTGGCACAACAGACTTGGACACATGAGTACTAAAGGAATGAAGATGCTGGTTGCAAAAGGATCATTAGAGGGTCTGAAGTCTGTTGATATGGGTCTTTGCAAGAGCTGTGTTACGGGCAAACAGAAAAGAGTAAGCTTCACAAAGACTCCTAGAGAGCCAAATAAAGTGCAGTTGGAAATGGTCCATACAGATGTTTGGGGACCATCTCCAGTATCATCACTTGGAGGATCCAGATTCTATGTTACCTTCATTGATGATTTCAGCAGGAAGGTATCAGTTTACTTTTTGAAGCATAAATCAGATGTCTTTGCAACTTTTCAGAAGTTGAAAGCTGAAGTTGAGAATCAGACTGGTTTGAAAGTCAAATGCCTAAGGTCTGACATTGGAGGAGAGTATGACAAATCAGAGTTCAAGACATTCTATGCAGCTGAGGGAATAAGATTGATGAGAACAATTCCTGGTAAGGCAAGGCAGAATGGAATTGCTTAGAGGATGAACAGAATATTGAATGAGCGTGCAAGGAGATGAGGATACACTGTGGGCTGCCCAAAACACTTTGGGCGGATGCTGTGAGCACAGTTGCATACTTGATCAACAGGGGACCATCAGTTCCTTTAGGGTTCAAGATTCCAGAGGAGGTGTGGACAGGAAAAGAACTCAAGTACTCACACTTGAGGACTTTTGGTTGTACAACTTATGTTCATGTTGATCCAGAAAAGAGATACAAGCTTGATGCCAAGGCTGTGAAGTGTTACTTCATAGGATATGGTTCTGATTTGTTTGGTTACAGGTTTTGGGATGACAAGAACAGAAAGATCCTGAGACATTGTGACGTGATATTTGATGAGTCTGTCTTGTATAAGGACAGAGAGCAGAAGGTTCTAGAGATTACAAAGCAAGTGGGAGTTGAGGTTGAGTTGGAGAAGAGTAACCCAGAGATGTCGAAGCAAATACTCAACCAACTCCTACTGAAGAATCTGAAGTGGAGCAAGTTACACATGATCAAGTGTTAAGGAGATCATCCAGATCCATTAGGGCACCAGATAGGCATTCACCTTCATTACACTATCTATTGCTGACTGATGAGGGGGAACCAGAGTCTTTTGATGAGGCCCTACAGGTGGAGGATTCGATCAAGTGGGAGCAAGCCATGGATGATGAGATGAGGTCATTTGAGAAGAATGACACATGGGTGTTGACTAAGTTACCTGCAGGGAAGAGAGCTTTGCTAAACAAGTAGGTGTTCAGAATCAAGACTGAACTAGATGGCAAAAGAAGGTTCAAGGCTCGTTTAGTGGTTAAAGGATATTCACAAAGGAAAGGTATTGATTATGCTGAAATATTCTCTCATGTTGTGAAGTTAACCTCTATTTGAATTCTGTTGAGTATTGTTGCATCGGAAAATTTGCATCTAGAGAAAATGGATGTAAAAACAACGTTTTTACATGGAGATCTGGACAAAGAGATCTATATGCAGCAACCGGAAGGATTTGTGGTTCCAGGCAAGGAACACATGGTGTTCAAGCTCACCAGGAGTTTGTATGGACTAAAGCAAGCACCAAGGCAGTGGTAAAAGAAGTTTGACTCCTTCATGAGCAAGAGTGGATTCTGCAAAGCTGAAAAGGATCCTTGTTGTTACTTCAAGAAATACACTGATTAATATGTCTTTCTACTCTTGTATGTGGATGATATGTTGATTGCAGGATCTAGTATGAGGGAGATTAACAATCTGAAGACAAGGTTGTCTGCAGCGTTTGAGATGAAAGATTTGGGTCCAGCAAAGCAGATTTTGGGGATGAAGATTTCTCGGATAGATATGCTGGCACTTTAAATCTATCTCAGGAGTTGTACATTGAGAAGGTGCTGAGCTGATTGAAGGTTAATGATGCTAAACCCAGGACTACTCCATTGGCAAATCACTTTAAATTGTCAAAGGAGCAGTCACCCAAGACTGCCGAGGAGCGTGATCACATGATACTTGTTCCATATGCTTCAGCAGTTGGTAGTTTGATGTATGTTATGGTCTGCACTAGAGCTGATATAGCACATGCAGTGGGAGTTGTTAGCAGGTACATGGCGAACCGTGGGAAAGAGCATTGGGAAGCTGTGAAGTGGCTTCTGAGATATCTGAGAGGTACATCCAGTACTTCACTTTGTTTTAGCAAAGGCAAGGTGACTCTTCAGGGTTTTGTGGATGCTGATCATGGTAGGGATGTTGACTCGAGCAAGAGTACATCCGGGTACATTTACACCATAGGTGGAACAGCAGTGAGTTGGATGTCCAGACTTCAGAAGTGTATTTCTCTTTCATCTACTGAAGCTGAGTATGTGGCAATAGCTGAAGCTAGGAAAGAGATGATATGGCTGGCAGATTATCTTGAGGAATTGGGCAAGAAGCAGAGCGAGAAGATTCTTTACTCAGATAGCCAGAGTGACATACAGTTGGTGAAAAATCCTGTCTATCATTCGAAGACAAAGCACATCAGAAGGCGATACCATTTCACTCGCAGGGCTGTGGAGGATGGTGATATGTGCTTGGAGAAGATAGAGGGTGCAAAGAACCTGGCAGACATGTTGATGAAATGTGTTGATGTTGGGAAACTGAGGTTATGTAAAACCTCGGTTGGTCTTTTGTAGTTGTTGCTACAGATGTTGCGGTGCGGTAAAGATGTTGATGATGAAGAGATTTTTTTTGAGAATGTATTTTTTGGATGACTGAGTCAGTCTCCAAGTGGGAGAATTGTTAGGTAGTGGAGCCTGATTAATTTTAGGTTTTCCTATTTATTCTCTATTTTAGGTTTTCCTATTTGTTCTCTATTTTAGGTTTTCCTATTTATTCTTTGTAACCAAAAATAGTCTGATTATTAATATAAATATACCTCACCGCCGTGGAGTTAACTCACGGGGTTTTACCACGAAATATTGGGTTTTCTCTCTCCCTGTCTAGATTTCTCATCTCTTTCTCTTGAAAGTTCTTTGTGTTCTTCATTCATCTGGTGTGTGTGCGTGAATTCGATCATAACACATATCACTTTGTACTCAAACAAGATAGTGTATTACAAGAGTTATATCTAATTATAAATATTTTTAAAATTGTAAATTGTTATTATATGTGTTTTTGGAAGTGTTTTGAAATCTTAAATATTAATCCATAGCTACATTATGCATCTCATGGAAGTAAAAAAGCTTGCAAAATAATCTCTAATCATAATATAATTATATATTAAATGCAACAAATTTTCTATATATATCATGTAAATAAAAATATGCATATAAATTTTGACTTTCTGTAGCAAATGAATTTTTAGCTAAAATTATATATATTTCATGGCTAAAGATATAAATTTTTAGTTAAAATTCAAAAATACTTGTGGCATATACTTCATGTTATAGCCATGAATTTTTTTAGTCATAACTAAATACAAGTACTATTGCCAAGAGACTAACACAACAAAATAAGCCCCAAATTCTGGGGGTTTTACTGTGGAGGGTAATATCATCTCAATAATTTACATTACATTGTGGAGGTTTGAGTAACCCCTCCAGTTTATTTAGTCAATTTAAGGAGTCGTAACTGCCATAATCGTCAAAATTAAAATTCCCTAAAATAACATACTTGTTATGAATAATATGTACTAAAGTGAATGTCTAATCATGTGGAGTCCTAGTAGGATTAGGAATCCTACTTGGTGACCAAGTAAGGTTTTCTCTATAAATAAAGGGTTTTCTTTCATTGTAAATAAGATTTGTGAAAGATCTATGAATCCTGAATATACTTCAAGAGAAATAAGAAGTCTTTTATCTTCTCCCTGCTTTCTTCTTCTTCTAATAAATTTATATAGTTTCATAACATGTTATCAGCACGATTGTTCTTCTTATAGAATTATGAAGAAAGACGGGAAAAGTGCAAAAGAGATCTTGCATTATGCAATAAGGTTCTTATATCATCAAGGTATGATTTATCTTTATGTTAAAATTATTTAAGTAACAGATCTGGAGGTACCATCTAAAGTAAGTATTTAAAGAGACTTGTCGACTTTCTATACGTTTAATTTTAACCGACTGGAAGAGAATTCCTTAATTTATTTTAGTAATTAAATAAACACAATTTAGTGAAAGATATGTTTTCAACCTTTATATGAGGTATGCGATCTATTAAACTATATCTATTAACTGCTAATGTTGATTATAAGAAATCATTAGTCTCAATTTTGTGTGTAATTATAATATATAATCATATTAATAATCATCAAAGTGATAAAATTTTAATTATTTTCAAAGGCTTGAGGTTGGGCCGCATTGTGGGTAAGACAATGAATTTAAGTTATATCACACCAAGAGAATAAGACGATGGATCTACGTCCAATCGCACCACGAGGGTAAGACACCAGAAGTGTTGATGCTTTGTGATGAAAGATGTTATATTCAAGTCCCTCATTGATTTATGGCATAAGACGTTGGGTTTGAGTTTCAATGCACCATATTGATGATATTATGATGACTAAGGGAAATAATGAGTTTTTTCATAAAATTAGTCATGAAATATATCTCGTTGAAGTAGATCCATTCCCCAAAGTGAAAATAACAGTGCATAAATGATGCACATGAGTATGGAATGAGATACTAAGTTATCAAAATTTGATGTACTTAGATGATTGTGTTTCATTCATGAAGAATGAAAGCCTTTGATAAATGGTAAGAATACATATTCATTCTTTAGAGTTAATGAGGTGATAAGCCACCATGCTAGACGTGAAAAAAATAGCAACCTTTCTTCAATGATGTGGTATCACCAAGAATGTCTATCTCTAAGAAGACATTTATTATAGAAAAATTTCATGTTTTATCTTCAAGATTGTATTGGACAAGAATTAGTACAATTGAGGCACATTCTATGGCAAATAAGAAATTTACTAATTCCAATACTTTCTTAATTTGATACGTTTTTCTAGGACAATGTTAGCCTATAAAATTTAGACGAATTATGAAAAATTAAAATAAACATCCATTGAAGAACCTGAAAATTCTTTTAAATGGTGAGTTTTCTTGTAATGATTGTTATCAAGACAAGCTAATTGTGACACAATCATAAACGAAAGTTGAGATTGAATTCTCTGCGTTCTAGGAACGTATCAAATATTTGTGGACCTAGTCATCCACTTAGAGGATTGTTTAGACTTAATGGTCCTAATAAATTTTTCTTCTATATGGTCTCATGTGTGCCAATTATTATCTCGTAACTTGATTTTTGAAAAAATGTTGGCACAAATAATATGTTACATGCACAATTTTCTTCAGATTAGTTCATTCAATGATGGGATCACGACTCACCTAAAGGGTAAAGTAATTGAGAAGAAATAAATCTGAAAATTACTCTTGAAGTAATAAAGTTAATTTTACTCATATAATAGTAAATCAAAAATTTACTAAAGCAAAAGGCACATGACGTAGTAAACTTGGAGTTTACGAGTACTGATAATTTTATTAGTTGGCATGAATAATTTGGTTATCCCAAAGACGTGCATACTGAGTAATGGACATACATTGAAAAACTAGAAGATTCCTCAAAAAAAAATTACGTTGCTTGTTCTCGTGATAAAGTTGATTGGATCAACTAAAGTTGGGACTAAATCCCTAAATCCTGAAAAGTATGAAAGGTGAATATGGACCCGTTCAGCTATCATGTGATATGATAAAAAGATGCATTTATAAGATAATTACGTGTACGTTTGTTGTCAACATGTAGTTTGACTTTCACAAAATTGTTTGTGCAAAAATAATTGAGATAAGAGCACAATTTCATAATATGAAATCAAGATAATTCACCTTGATAATATTGATAAATATATAAGATGATGTGACCTTAAATGTCACATTTAGTGAATCATTGCTTATGAAAATAAAGTATAATGTGTTGATTTGAAATATGATATTACATACAAACGTAATTGTATGAATCAAACCAATAAGTGATGATTAATTTTTCTGTTAATTGGTTTATGGTCAAGGACCAAATAGTGTTCATCTTATAATTTTGATTTACAATATTTGATTGATGAATATACTTTGATATGTGGTATATAAATACATCAATAAACTATGATGCACAAAGATAAATTTTCCAAAAGATTGAGATATATGTTAGTTTGTCTAACTTTAAGGAGATTAGAAGCAACACAAAAGTTGTAAAAACTCCTATTGAATGTACAATAGAGTCTATGACATGCATGAAGCATGATAGACTAATCAATTCTAAATAAAATAATCTTTGAATAAGGGAGAGGATCAAAGGATCAAAATGATCATAATAAGAAGATAATGTGCTCTTGGGGAGCCTACGACATAACACTTTGTGAAACCTTATGAGAGGGGTAGCTACCTAAAATTAATGAAGTGATGAGATCTCAATAAGTTTGTCATATTGTGAATCAATGCAAAATCGTATATCGTTGACGATATTTTTATTATAATAGCACGCAATATTGTAAAAGATTATGAGTATATGAATTCTACATCTATTAAAGCATGCTTGTATAAAAATAATTATCAAGTGAAAAGTGGAATGATGCATCTTGGTAAGCTTAAAGCTTATTTGACTTGCAATCTAGGCACTAGAAGATATCATACATTTAATATTAAATGTTTTTACTTGACAAAATTGATATGAAAATATCGAATGGGTTCAAAATCTAAAGCATATACAAGTTTTTGGAAGACTTGTTTATCATCCACATAAGGATTAAATAAATTCAAAATACATAGAGCATATACAAGTATTATTATGCAAGTTGATGACTAGAATTGAAACTCTTGGCAATAGATTATTTGTTTAAAGAAGTTAATGTAAGGAACTTGCAGAAATCTTTGACCCTGAAGGGAAGATTTGTAAAAGCGTATAGAAGAAAACATATTTCGTACAGGTTTTTCTACATTCATCAGCTCCCAAGAATGGTGACATCAACATGGAAGAGGTCTATTCAAGTAATATTATTGTTGATTTATCCACCAAGTCTCTACCAACTACAATTTTCAAAAAGATGGCGCACAAGCTTGGAAAACAAAGATTCTAGTCTATGAATTGATGTTGTCATTAGGGGGAGTTAATACGCGATGTACTCTTTTTTCCTCACAAGGTTTTGTCCCACTAGGTTTTCCGTGTATGTTTTTTAATAAGGCATCCATAATGCATATGGTTAGACATGTGTACTCTTTTTCCTTCACTTGATTTTTTTTACTATTGGGTTTTATCTAGTAAGGTTTTAACGAGGTACATAATCTACCGACATTCAAGGGGGAGTGTTATAAACAATTTGTATTCCTAGTAGGATATGGTTAAGATTCCTACTTTGGGACCAAGTAAGGTTTTCTCTATAAATAAATGGTTTTCCTTCATTGTAAATAAGATTTGTGAAAGATCTATGAAACCTGAATATACTTCAAGAGAAATAAGAAGTCTTTTCTCTTCTCCCTACTTTCTTCTTCTTCTAAATGTATATAGTTTCATAACAATAGTAACTTATTCTATATGTCATTTGCCCCGACTTTTTAGTTATTTCCCTTAATTTTTTCCCCAAATATCCTCCTCATTCTTTCCCTTCTCTAACAAAGCAACACTGCCAGTCCGGCGCTATGCTTTCAATTTCGCGGTAAGATCCGGCGGTGTTGAAAAATGTGGCGCTATTATTGGTGGCGCAACTCATTGGAAAGAATTGTTTTCATGTCGGAGAACTTGAATAGTTTGCTTTACTGTTGAAGTGGAGATGGAGAAGAGGCTGCAATTGGACGATTTTGATTTCTCTGAGTTACAATTTCCTGCTTTAAGATAGGATTATATTTCTCACAGGTTATAGTCTTACGCGTTTTTTGATTTGCTTTTCAAATTGTAATTAAACATTCATCTTGTATGTTGATTCAAAAATTGTGTTACGTAGTTAGATTTGTACTTTTACCTTACAAGTACTAATGAAATTAAGATTCGTTCATCCTTCCACCACCGTAGCTTCTCTTTCCTGCTTCAAGGAAACATTTGAGCCCTTCGTTTGTCAAATATTTGAAGTTTATCTTTTAAGCGTACTTTGTGTTAGCCCTTAATATGCATTACTTTCAATTTGCGTTGGTGACATTATTTTTCAAATAATATATCTATCTTTATAAATGTTGTGTTTGCAATTGATAGGTTTCATTGTGAAGTATAACAGATATGGAAAAAAATAAAGAATGAAGCCCTAAAGTTTTATAATCTTAGGGTTCTTATTGTCTTGTTTCCAAGTGATTATAATGTTATTGTATCATTTATAATTGCTTTGATTTAGTAATTTAGAGATTTTGTTTGCTTCCAAGTGATTATTTTGATAATGTATTAGCTCAACTCTTGTCAAAACTATAATGGTCAAGAAAAGATGGTGAGACATCTGATTGTTAAAAATGTACGACTTCCTTGTCTTTTTTGCGTACGCAAAGGAAAAGCCAAGTAGAAAACATCAACAAATCTTGCTGGGAATAGACATTGATAAAAGCAACCTGAGACTCCAGGAGCAGAATACGAAAGGTGGCTATTGGAAGCAAAGCATTTCTCCATGCCATTATTAGCCAACAGTGGCAACAACTAAAACAGTGTGTTGTTGAAAGGTTGTTTCGTATTGCTTCCTCATGTGTTCGACAATCACGTCGATTATGTAAATGCTACTGTCATTTGTGTATTAAATAGCATATAAAGGTGAGCACATTGTTCAATTTTCTTTTCCTTTTTATGTTCATGTAAATTCTTACGCCTCCTACCTACTCGAAAGTGTTTAACTAGTGCTGTACTTTCTTGCAGAAAGGTAGGTTACAAGAGAAGCTGCATTTAGGACTATTTTTTGGTTTGTGTAAGTCACTAAAGTATGCAAAACATGTCATGTTATGAGAACATTAACAGTTTTAGTAGTTATCATGTTAATTACATCTCGTTTCAATCCCAAACATGAAATAATAGGCTATGTGAATCCTTATTTCTTCATTTAAGTTCATATTAACAATGTTTTATTACTCATAATTTTTACATTCTCTGTTGTTGTTCTATGAGGAGAAGCGATAGATAAGTACATAATCAAGTAAGTTACATGCTTTAACAATTTACAAAGCAGTAATAAATTTTCTGTGTTACCTAAGGAGTTTTTTGTGGTTTAGTGAAGTTCATATATTCTACAACCCGCTAGATTTCTAAGCTAATATGAAATTTCTATCTGAGGCCAAGATTAATATAGTTAGCCTCCATTCTGTTGCCAAATTTTAAATTCCTCTCTGACTGTGACATTTTAGTATCAACAGCCTTTCAGAAGCTACTTTTAAGTTGTTTTCTTTTGCTTGTTGTTATTGTTTTCTTTTCTTTTTTTGTCTAATGCAGGCTATGTTACGTAATGATGCCAATCCACAGCTTTCTTGTGCAATTGATACTTGGAGTCTAGGTTGTACTGTTTAAATGTTTACTGGACAATCCTCTTGAAGTTGATTAGACGGGCTAAGCCGCGTTAACAAACTTTGAGCCTATTAGTTTGTCACATAGTAGTATCATATCCAAAGAAGCTATATTCCTCGGAATCTCCAAAAATGCTAATGCACTATATTTGAAGGATTCGAAATTCAACCCCGCACTATTTTTGAAGAGTCCGAAAATTATAGCTGAGAATGAACAAGCAAAAAAATCATGGCCAATATTTTTTTTTTGATTCCAAATTTGATGTATAAACAATCGTGTATTTCATTTTTTAGGTGAAAGCAATTATCACCTGTACTAGAAACGTCATTTCCGGAAGGAAAGATTTTTATCCGTTGCTATTTTCAGAGGAAATATGCAGATAGTCCTACATTTTTTATGCTTCTTGAGCATCCTTTCTTAAGTAATACTAATTTGCGTGAACATAGTGCTACTGTTTCAGGTTCCTCAGAAGATTTTTTGCGGATGAAATGAGAACTGTGGGTTTTAACATATCGAACAAGAATGTACTTTTAAGAAAGTGTATTTTTTAATGTGTAGCCTTCCCTACTCAACTGACTCTGTGGCACAGGTAAACATTCCAATGTCCGTAAAGTTACAGTGGAGTGACAGTCGGAGCATGTGGTCTTATTAGTTTAGAGCCAACAGAGGTAAACAGTTGTGGAATGTTAGTTAAGATTATTACTACTGCTCCGTTGCTAGTTTTTTTCCTTTTATGATTGTAGATGATTTTTGTTTTTTCATTGATATATATTATTTTATGAGATCTGTACGTTGTTTGATTTACATAATTTAAAACAAATGAATATATGATATACTAATATTATATGAAATGCATAATAATGAGGTTTATGGGCTAATTTTGTTTGTTTCTATGTGAATGTACCACCAAATGATGATTTTTAGCATAAGAGTCATATTTAGTACATGTGTTTCACATATATTGATGATTTTAGGTTCGGGACATTGAGGAAGTTCCTGGTCATTGAAGCAGAAGACTTGGCTCTTTCCTAAGTTGATTGGTGAGTCCTCATGAGTTCCGAGGATATAAACACTTGTCAAGCCTTATTGGTTTTGTCTATGTTTTGAGATAATTATTCCATTCTGATATTGAGACTTCATTGTATCCTATATGAGCATATTGTAATAGACTAAGGAATATGCCCAAACTATTATGATTCATTCTTTAGATGGTTAAATTTGAGACGAACTATTAGTGATTGTTGTTGTTAAATGTTAAGGTAGAAGCCTATGTATGCTTGCTATGTAGAGGTCTATGTAAACCTCATTATGTATAGATGTAATGTTTTAAATTTATCTGTGTTTTGACCTGTGATATGTAATGACGAATGCTAAGAGGCTTGTCTTAGTCCTCTTCGAGGAAGTCGATGCCGATAACGACGAGGGTGTACTTTGGGTTGTTACAAACTTGGTATTAGATCATTAGGTTAAAGTATATATTAGGATTGATTTCTCACTAATCCACGTCTATGTTAGGTCTTATTCGTAATTGTGAAGAGCGCCACACTTGTGAATGAGAGACTATGTGATTCTCATGAACTTTCACTATCTTGTTATTCCTTAGTCATGCCTTAGAGTCCTATCTCTATTTAGTCCTTTCTTGTAATCCTTTTATTGTGCTTATAGGCAATGAATACAAGGAGGAACAATGCTCGAAAGTTCGGAGAGGAGAATTTGAATGAGGTGGTTCCCCCTCAAGCTCCTCAAAACCCTCACATTCCTATTGAAAAAGGGGCTATGTGTAACGTTGACATAGAATCGACCATACATAACTTGATTCAAATGTTGGCTACCTAAATTTCTAGGGATGCAAGAGTGCAAGTGAATCCCAATGCTAACACTACCACTTCAAGGATTAGGGATATTACAAGGATGAATCCCCCTACTTTCTTTGGTTCTAAGATGGAAGAGGACCCACAAGGGTTCATTGATGAAGTGTTCAAAATTCTTGATGCTATGGGTGTTTCTTATCAAGAATAGGCAGATCTAGCCGCATACCAACTCGAAGACTTAGATCGAGTTTGGTATGACCAATTGAAGAATGAGAGGCCGATTATAAAAGGCCAGATTACTTGGGGAGCTCTCAAAACTGCTTTTCTTGGTAGGTTCTTTCTCTTGGAACTAAGGGAAAGGAAAATTCAGGAATTCATCAACCTTGATCAAGGGGATATGAGCATTAAGGATTATAGCCTCAAGTTCACTCAACTATCCAAATATGCTCCGACTATAGTTGCGGATTCTAGTGCTAAGATGAACAAATTTGTTAATGGGATATCCGATCTGGTTGTTAATGAGTGTAGGTCGTCTATGTTGATTCCTAGAATGGACATCTCTCGCCTCATGGTTCATGTAGAACAAATTGAGGATCAAAAGCTTAAGCAAGTTGGTAGGGAGTTGAAGAAGGTAAGAACCGAAGATGGGAATTCTTCCAAGGCTAAGTTTGAGGTACAGGACAAACCAAGGTTCAGAAGGAGGTTTTCCAACCAAAGACCTTCTAATGCACCAAGGGTAAGGTGCCTACTCCAAAGCCCCAAGAGGGGAAAGGTGGAAGATCTTATGTTGAGAAGTTTCTTTGTGCAAAATGTGATTCGATAAATGATGGTAAGTTGCTAGTTGGCACGGGTAATTGCTATGGTTGTGGAAAGAGTAGTTACATGAAGAGATATTTCCCTATGATAAAGTCTCAAGTAAGGAAAAATTCTCAAGATCAAGCAAGTGCCCCAAATCTAGATGCTCTAAAGAAGAACCGTTTCTATGCTCTCCAATCCCAAAGTGATCAAGAGAGCTCAGTGGACGTGGTCACTGTTATGTTAAAATTATTTTCCTTTGAAGTATACGCTTTGTTGGATCCAGGACCTACATCGTCATTTGTGACCCTTCTTGTAGCAATGAAGTTTGATATACTACCCGACATATTAGACGAACCTTTTTTGATTTCTACCCCGGTGGGTGCTTCCATGGTGGTTGATAGAGTCTATAAAGGTTGTCCTATTTCCTTGCCCAATAGAGTTGCATTTGTTGACTTGATAGAACTTCATATGCTAAATATTGATGTCATATTTGGAATGAATCGGTTGCATGCTTGCTTTGCTTCTATTGATTGTAGGACAAGGGTAGTCAAAATTCCGTTTCCAAATGAACCCGTTTTTCAATGGAAGGGAGGGAACTCAAATCCTAAGGGTAATATCATTTCATGTCTAAAATCTTGCAAGGTGATTGCAAAGGGAAGTATTTACCATATAGTGAGAGGTAGAGATTTTGAATCCGAGGTCCCTCCAATAGAGTCGGTACCCGTAGTTAGGGAATTTCCAGAGATCTTTCCCGATGATCTTCCTGGAATTTCTCTCGAACGGGAGATTGATTTCAACATAGACTTATTGTCGAATACGCAACCTATTTCAATCCCTCCTTATCGAATGTCCCTGGCCTAATTTAAGGAGCTAAATGCTCATCTCAAAGAATTGTTAGATAAGGGCTTTATTCAATCGAGCATATCTCCATAAGGTGCTCCAGTATTGATTGTAAAGAAGAAGGATGGGTCGTTGAAAATTTCCATCGACAATCATAAATTAAACAAAGTTACTATAAACAATAAGTACCCACTTCCTGGGATTCACGACTTCTTTGATCAACTCCAAGGAGCGAGTTACTTTTTGAAAATCAACTTGACATCGGGTTATGATCAAATTAGGGTTAGAGAAGATGATGTTCCAAAAATGGCATTCCAAACAAGATATGGTCATTTTGAATTCCTAATGATGTCATTTGGTATAACTAATGCCCCGACGGCTTTCATGGACCTCATGAATTGAGTTTTCAGAAAGTATCTTGATTTGTCTGTGATTATACTTATTGATGATATTTTGATGTTCTCAAGGAGTGAGGATGATCATATGGATCATTTGAGAATAGTTTTGCAAGTTCTCAAAAATAATCAACTTTTTGCTAAATTTAGTAAATGTTAATTTTAGTTGAGATCGGTAGCTTTACTTTGTCACATTGTCTCTAGTGAAGGTCGAGGTCAATTCGAGGAAAACATAAATGGTCAAAAAGTTGGCCTAGACCTTGAGTCCTACCGACATTAAAGGTTTTCTAGGGTTGGTCGGTTAATATAAGAGGTTTGCTGAGGGATTTTCGTCTATCGTATCTCCATTAACGGCCTTAACCCAAAAGAAGTCCAAGTTCAAATGGTCGGAATCTTGTTAGAATAGCTTCCAATTATTGAAATATAGACTCACCTATGCTCTGGTATTGACCTTAGTAGAGGGTAGCGATGGGTTTAAGGTTTATTTTGATGCCTCCCGAGTGGTTCTAGGATGTTTGATAATGCAACATCGCAAAATAATGGCGTGTGATTCTAGACAACTCAAGACACATAAAAAGAATTATCCAAGACACGACCTTGAGCTTGCGGCTGTTGTATTTGCTCTAAAAATTTGGAGACACTATCTTTATGGGGTGCATATTGACGTGTTCATGGATCATAAGAGACTAGAATATGTATTTACCCAAAGAGACTTGAATTTACACCAAAGAAGATGGTTAGAGCTTCTAAAAGACTATGATATGAGTGTCCTTTACCATCCCGGAAAAGCTAATGTGGTGGCGGATGCTTTGAGTTGAGTGTCAATGGGTATTGTGGCTCATATGATTGATGAGAAGAAAGAATTAGTGAAGGATATTCATCAGTTGGCACGGTTGGGTGTCCAATTAGAAGAATCTTCAAAGGGTTGTTTTATGGTTTGTCACAACTCCAAGTAATCTCTAGAGGTGGATGTGAAAGCTAAGCAACGTCTTGATACCCAATTGATGGAGTTGAAGGAGTCTGTCCTAATCATTCTCCCAAGGGGAAGATGGGGTACTTAGGTACCAAGAAAGGTTATGTGTTATGGATGTGGATGGTTTAGGGGATAGGATCATGGAAGAGTCTCATGCCGCCCGATATTCCTTTCACTCGGGGCCACCAAGATGTATGATTATTTGTGTAACATTTATTGGTGGAATGGAATGAAAAGAGGGATAGAAAAATTTTGTGGCTAGATGCTCGAATTACCAACAAGTCAAAGCCGAGCATCAAGGGCTGAGAGGTCTTACCCAAAATACTGACATTCCCACTTGGAAGTAGGAAATATGTCAACATGGACTTCTTGGTAGGCTTACCTCGTACCCGTTGACAACATGAGTCAATATGGGTCATAGTGGATTGATTGACCAAGTCACCCAGTTCCTTCCCGTAAGGGTTTCTTACTCGGCAGAAGAATATGCTAAATTTTATGTTAAGGAAATTGTGAAGTTGCATGGAGTCCCCTTGTCTATCATTTAAGATAGGGGAGCTCAATTCACTTCACATTTTGGGAAATCTTTCCAAGATGTAATTTGTATGCAAATAAAGCTTAACCCCACTTTCCACCCTCAAACGGATGGACAAACGAAGCACACTATTAAAAATCTAGAATATTTGTTGAGTTCTTGCGTGATTGATTTCAAGGACAAATGGGATGATCACCTAACAGTAATCGAGTTTTCCTACAACAATAGCTACCATGCAGGTATAGGTATGGCACCTTTTGAAGCATTTTATGGTAGAAGGTGTTGGTCCCCGATTGGATAGTTTGAAATGGGTGAGCTTTCTCTTCTTGATCACGAGTTATTGTATGAAACCATGTGTCAAACCACGAGCTACCCCCGAGGCGCGGACACAAAACCTAGGACCACAAGTTATCCCAAGCTAACACTGCTGGAATACCCATATGCTAAAACTGATATATATATATATATATATGAAAACTGATTAGTTTAACATAATAAAGTTACTAACTCAGCACTAAGCAGAAACTAACTATGACTGAAATACGCCTCTAAACTAGACTACAAATAGTGGGACAAGCCCCATCTAAATCTAGCAAAAAATGAAAATAAATAACTAAAGACTGAAATGAAATTCAAAACTGGTGTCCTCGGAGAATGAGGACTCACCACTGAATCTACTGAACTGGAGATCGGAAATCTATCTATGCCTGACCTGGATACTAAGAACCTGAACCTACATCACGAGAAGATGTAGCACCCGTATGCGTCAGTACTTAAAAGGTACTAAGTATGTAGGATTGATTAAAGCTGAAATAAAACATAATTGAACAAGCATAAAAGCAAGTAAAATAATTTGAATATGATATACTGAATTTCTGAGCTAACTGAATGCAATGAACAATTTATAACATACTGAATTTAATAATGAATATACTGAAAATGGTCAATGCAGAGAGTCAGACTGAACTGTGGGAGATACTAATAACCAATAATAAAACTACATGAGCTAAATGTGGAGTCCGATGTATACGCCTCATCAAGAGGACCCTATATACCCTACCAAAGGTATAAAGGCATGCTGACGTGATCATTAAACTGATTGCCCAAAGAGGGGATTTACAACCTACATGGCTAGTAGTTCAAGGGCTATTGGGCACGCTAAACAGTAGGCCAACTCGATATTATGTTACTCCCAATGAATTCTATAAATTAACTTATTATATATGAGTTTTTGTAAATACTGGATAGCTCAAAACTAAACATGCAAAATGAGAATGCAACAATTAATATGGTAATTAGGCATTTATAACTGAGGCATATATATGTGATGTGCCTGAAATATTTGACCTAGCATGTGTAATTTAAGAACTAAAGGAATACAAAGCTAGGTTTCTAAAACTCATGCGATAATCTGAGTAATAACATGGTAATCTGATTTGGAACATATATTTAAAAAATTCATTAAGTTCTATCAAAGTTCTAGAAACCCTAGGTTTAATCATTACAAGAGAATCCTGAATCTGCTTGAAAACTAGGGATCCAATTGGAGAAAGGAACCCACTAGTGAAATCCCACATGCCTGGTGATAAAATCCACAGAAAAATACTTAAGTTTCAGGGCTGGAAACATTGGAGCTTGTTCCGTTCTTGAACTAGGGTTCTTAAACTTTTTCTCTTCTCTTGCTTCTAATTTTCTAAAACTTTCGATTTAATGATTTGGCTTAGATATGTTTTAGTTATGTTTCTTGGCTTAAACTTACTAAATATGATGATTTAGGGTCAAAACAACGTAACATAGGATTTAAATGGAGTGGAAAAGGTCAAAAAGACCCCTGCGAAAGTTGTTATTGAACCAAACGACGGCCACGACTGACGGTCCGTCGTTTGAGCGACGCCCCATCGTTGGGCCCGTCGACTAGGCCTGTTCGAAAGACCTTTACTAAAATGGGCATAACATTTTACTCTAATGTTTGATTTTATGAAGGTTGGTGGCTATGGAAAGATAATTGAATTATCTATTTGTGGGTAGCTCTTCGGACAACTAATTCATTTTGTGCTAAGAGTTAGGACCATTTGAAGTTGAACTAACAACATTCCCCGTTAATTGTCTGCAAATTTCCACCTACTGTCAGACCTATGGACCGTGCTGGTCATCCGTAGCTCTTGTCAGAGAGTGGGTGAAGGGAGTGTCAATCAATGGTCATGGAATACGGACCGTCATTTGACCTATGGACCGTCGGTCCGTCCGTCTATCAAGAGTTAGCCAATTTTTTCTCTACTGAGTTTTTGGGAGTTTCTGATCCCATCTATTGTTATGCAAGACAGATCGTCATCTGTCCTATGGACCGTCAATGCCACCGTTGGTTGCACCTGCAGATTTTCTGAAAAACACTGATTTTTTGTCAATTTTGGCTATGGGGCGTTACAATATCTTCCCCTTGGGAACATTCGTACTCGAATGAAGACTAAACTAGATGAAATAGAGGGAGAGAGTTGTGAACCCGCTACCTACTCAAATGAAGACTAAACTAGTTGTATTAGATGGAGAGAGCTGTAAACCCCAGTACTAATTATTGAGTACTAAGTTCTGACTGAGTTGTGTTCCGAGTACATGAAATTACGTTGAAAATGTAAGTAAAAATTGAGGGAACATGATTCTAAGACTTAATTTATGCATGTATGATTGGAAACTAAAGAGGAACTATTACCTGAAGTTGAAGTGGAATCCGAAGGAAAGAGCAGAGGACACTTGGCTTTCATGGCTGCTTCTACTTCCCAAGTAGCTCCCTCTACGGACTGACTTCTCCACAAAACCTTGACTGAAGCGACTTCTTTGTTTTTCAACCTTTTGATATGACGGTCAAAAATCTCAACTGGTACATCCTCATAAGAAAGACTATCTTTCACCGCCACACTCTCCAATGGCACTATAGAGGTTGGATCACCCACACACTTCTTCAAGAGTGAGATGTGGAAGACCAGATGGAGTGCTGCTAATTCTGCTGGTAACTCTAACTCATATGCCACCTTGCCAATCTTTTTCAAGATCTTGTAAGGTACTATATATCTAGGAATGATCTTCCCTTTATTTCCAAATCTCATCACCCCTTTCATAGGTGAGA